GACGCAAGCATTGGGAATCGGGTCCAAAGTCATAAGAACTGGTACCAGGTAGTCGTCTTTAATCGTCCATCCTGACTCCTCTGGTTGAGGTAATATTGGACGTGCAATGTGAGCTTGACGYCATATCATAGCTTGATAATGCRCTCTCATTGTATGGTKCTTCAATGCGTCGCTCGTAGGCGGGAGCTTGTCTGGGGCCACAAATTTGGCAAATAAGTTAAAGTGAGCCATGTCAGTTGAATCTGCCTCTGTCTTGTATATCTTACACACAAATCTCTCCACACTGTTTAGTTCATGCAGTCCCAGCGCGTTCCCGCGCCTAGCGGAAGGAGGAGCTCAAAGTGTTCTTGAAAAACTTTCCATGCGTTCTTTTTTGAATGGCCACACAAAAAAGAGGTTTTATCACACCCAGTGATTGCATGGAATTGTAAAAGAGCATGCTCTGAAGCTGGAGGAAGGTTGTTAAATACCTCTTGTAAGGGGATATACTTCGGTTTCTTGGAGGTTCCAGCCCAAAGCCAGACTTTTGAAGTGATGTGTTCATTATGAGCCAAAAGAAGAAGTAGAACATCTGTATCCCGTGCCGATATGACAATATTGACCACTGTCCCTTCTTGGTGTATGGCATGCAAAACAAAACGAGTGTCTGCTTCTTCGTGAGTAGATCGCAAAGCTTCTACATTTTCTGTACTGTCAGAACATTGCACTTCTTCTTCATCATGAAACCCACCAGAAACTATAAGGGTTTTCTGTGGAGGTGCTTGTGCGATTAATTCTCCTGAAAGAAATCGAGCTAGATTGGCTTTGTTATCGCCAAGTGCAAGGAAGTTTGACCAGTTAGTAGGTAATGGCACGTTTCTTCCTTCAATCACTCTTCGAACTGAACGTGTGTTCTTTGAACGTCGAGCCCTTGTACAGGCTTTGATGGACATCTTTCTATATCTATCAAATAAAACGTCAACTTTTTCAAAGATAGACCCTGCCTTGGCGAGCACGACTCTAACAAAAGTGTCAGAGAAGTCACCAAATGTCTTTGCTTTTTCTGGCTTACCTATTGCTGCCACTAATGCAAAGCCATCGATCATCAACGCTGAACGTCCGTCTAGAGTAATAGAGGCTGGGCAACATATTATTTTGCATTTGATTACCTGCTAAGCGCACTCTCATCGCGTTGTTGAAGTGGGCAACATTAATAATTGCATTGCTAACACTAAAGGAACTAACACGAGATAAATGATCCTTAGGTTTTGACATAGCTGGCAAAACATGCACGAATTCCAATCCATGGGCGATACCAAACGATCGTCAATGTTCTTCCTAAGTTTAAAGGGATTACTGCTGCTACTTCTACTGTCAGCCAAGCGCTCAATTTTTCCTTTATGCGTAAAGTCGGAGTAACCTTTTTCTATGCCATACAACGTCAGGTGTATCAGATGGAGAGGATTGCGTGACACAGGAAATGCGCTCGATTGCTTCCTCGTATTTAGAGTCGCTGAGGTCATATCT